TTCCTGTTGCTTGAATCACTCGGTTGCTGGGCCAGAGCAGCCGGGGCCTGCCCCCTCGCCTGCCCCTCCCTCCGTCACCCGGGGCGGAAGCACTAGTGGCCCTGGCTGCTGTTTCTGGGGGCCGGCCAGTGGCGGGGTGCTGCACAAAAGTACCGTGGGTGACCCAGGAGGCTCAGGGCCTGGAGGCAGAGGCTGGGCAGGGTGTGGGGCTGGCTGCCCTCAGACAACTTCCCTGCCTCTGCTCCTCCGCCCCTACACAAGGATCCATCACAATGGCACTCACTTCATTGGCTGCCGCTGATGGCGCTGGAGACGTGTGAGGCCCACCCGTGTGTGGAGGCATGCTTTGCAGCACTGTGCCCGCAGAGGGCTGCTGCTTTCAGTGGCCGCCACCGGGTGTCCTCCCTCCTGCCTCGTTCTGGCTGGAGCGAAGAGGACAGGGCAAGGGTGGGGAGGAAACCTGGGAATGGGGATGAGGGGGAGGGTTACCATGGAATGGATGGGGGGTGGGTTTGCGTCCAGGAACCGTGCCTGTGGCCTCCGGGGAGGGTCCTGTGGGCTGGTGGCCAAGCTTTGGGGGCCAGTCTTTGGCCTTGTGAATAGAAGCTCATTTCAGAGAATCATAGAGCTGAAAGGGACCTCCAGGGTCATCTAGTCCAACCCCCTGCTCAGTGCAGGGAATTCACAAATACCTCCCTCACACCACCCCTGGGGACGGCTGTTCCACACCCAGAAGATGACAAAAAGCCTCCAGGATCTCCAGCCAAAATGGCCTGGAGAAAAAATGCTTCCTGACATGCTGACTCATGTTCAGTGTATGGTCTTCTAAGACCCCCAGATCCTTTTTGCACATACTACTGCCAAGACAAGTCTCCCCAACCTTTAATTACGCATTTGTTTTTTCCTTCCTAAATGCAGAACTTTAGATTTATCCCCATTGAAATTCATTTTATTTGTTTTAGCCCAGTTTTCCAGCCTGTCAGGATCATCCTACATCCTGAGTCTGTCTTCTACCATATTTGCTACGCCTCCCAATTTAGTATAATCTGCAAATTTAATAAGCCTTCCCTCTATCCCTTCAATTGAGCCAACTTCAGAGGATGGCGGAAGACAGGAGGGCCTGGCGTGATCTTGTCCATGGGGTCGCGAGGAGTCGGACTCGACTGTGCGACTGAACAACAAACTATCCCTTCATCCAAATCATTGATAAAGATGTTGAACAAAACAAGTCCCAGGACAGATCCCTGAGGCACTCCACTGGTCACTCGTCTCCAAGAGGACGAGGAGCCATTCACAACTAGCACTCTTTGGGTGCGGTCTGTTAACCAGTTACAGATCCACCTAACAGTCATAGGATGCAAACCACATTTTTTCAATTTGCCAACAAGAATATTATGTGGGACCTTATCAAAAGCCTTACTGAAATCAAGATAAACTATGTCTGCAGCACCCCCCTGATCCAGCAAGGTAGTAACTTTCTTTTAAAAAAGAGATAAGGTTAGTCTGACATGACTTGTCTTTGTGCTTTGGGGGTGGGGAGGGCAGTATGGAACGGGGGCTGCTTGGCTGTAAGTGGGGGAGGGGTGGCCAAATGGCCTGGGGGCTGTGGTACTGCCCTCGCTGCTCTGATTGGGGGCTTGTGTTTCTTCCCAGGCGGAGTCCGATGTGGCCTCTCTGAACCGTCGCATCCAGCTAGTAGAAGAGGAGCTGGACCGAGCCCAGGAGCGCCTGGCAACCGCTCTGCAGAAACTGGAGGAGACAGAGAAGATGGCCGATGAAAGCGAGAGGTGAGGGGGCAGGGGGGGTCTGGCTGGCTGGGCACACTCTCACCTTGGCTCGCTCTGGCCACAGCTGGGTCTGGGTCTTGGACTTCCGGGGCTGTCCTTTGGCCCATGCTAGTCCTAGCGGACCCCAGAAAAGCCATGCACCCTCTCCTGCCTCCCTTCAGGCACAAGCCAAGTGCTGAAACACAAATGTAGATGCCTTTGTTTTAAGCAGAACTTAAGAACATCAGAAGAGAGCCCCCTGCTGGATCAGAGCAGTGAGGGTCCCTCTAGTCCAGCATATCCTGCCTCACACAGTGCCCAACCGGCTCCTCTGGATGGTCAACAGCAGGGCAGAGAGGCCGAGGCCTTCCCCTGATGCTGCCTCCTAGCTCTGGGATTCAGAGGCTTCGTGCCTCTGAATGTGGAGGTTCCCCTCAGTCACCATGGGTAATAGCTATTGATAGACCTATCTTCCATAAATCTATTTCATCCCCTTTTAAAGCTGTTTATTCCTGCAGCCATCACTACATCCACTGCCAGCAAACTTCACATTTTAATCACTCTCTGTGTAAAGTAGTCTTACCTTTTGTCCATCCTGAACCTACGGCCCGTCAGCTTCATTGCATGCCCTTGAGTCCTCTTTATCAGCTCTTTCCACGCCGTGCATAATTTTGTAAACCTCTGTCATGTCCAATGTTCCCTCTAAGCTCTGAAGCTCTGTGTTCAAAAAAAATTCTTTGTGAGCCAAACTATAAAAGTTGTGAGCAAGCCAACATTTTAATTTTTTAATTTCAGTTTACAAACATACAAAACATACAAATATAAAATATAAACCTAACTGTAACCTTGTAAGAGTCTCAGAATGAACTTTTAAACTATATTTTAAGAATGATTTAAACATTATAACTGAAAACAGTATCAAGTCTAATTACAGAAAAAAGTTTTAATTTAACTCCTCTACTCTTCCTTTCTCTTTTCTCCAGCAATTGAAAACACTGTCAATATTAATATTATTCCCAGTAGACACATGCAGTTTAATTCTCATTAAGTTCTCCAGGTGATCTGTATCTAGCTGATTTCTAATATTAGTTTTGATAGCATTCATCAAGCTAAAACCTCTCTCTTAGACCCCAATAATTCTGTGGGTCTCTGAGCCGCTAATGAACCTGAATCTAGCTGTTCTGCAGACCAACACACACACACACACACACACACACACACACACACACACACACACACCCCTCTGAAAAATATCAGTAAAGTCATTTTTGTTGGTCTTAAAGGTGCCCCTGGACTCAAAATTTGTTCTTTTGTTAATACTGATATTGTGAGTTAAAATTTGGCTTTTATACAGCTCATTTAAGTCCTTCGCTTACATTTTCAAAGTGACCCCTACAGCAGACCTGTGAGGAAAGCCAGTGTCATTTTTATTCAATGGTGTGGATTGCCTGATTGACTTTAAAAATATTTTCAAAGAATAGCCATGCTGTTTGCAGTAGGATTTGAGTCCAGCAACACCTGGACAAGATTTCCATGGTATAAACTTACAAGAGTCAGAAAAGCTTATGCCCTAAAAGTCTTGTTAGTCTTTAAACTAGGGGGAAAAAAGAGAGGGGACTTTCTATAGTTCTGGTACCACTGGTGTAACTCTGATGGCAACTGGGTTTTGGCCATTGTGTGTGACACAGACTATTGGACTGGATGGGCAAGTGGCCCATCATATGTCCTTAAACTGCTACTAAAAGACCCCTGCCTTCTTCAGCTAACCTCCTCGAGGGGCCTTCTGCTCTGCCAGCACGCTGCTGAAACCGGCTCCCCCCCACCTTCTCCAACTCACCCTGCCAGCTCAGAGACAACACAGAGTCACTTTGCAAAGCGGCAGAAGCCACCCAATCGTCTCCAGCACGCTGCTGAGGACGGCTCCCCCCCTTCTCCCAATGCCAACTAGCCTTGCTAGCTCACAGGCACGTTGTAAAGCAACAGAAGCCACCTTCTGGGCCAGGGTATCTTCAGCAGCACGAGGCAGAGGACTGCTGGGCAAGGCAACAGTGCCCCCTTTCATAGGGAAGCAAACTCCTGCTGATGGGAGGCGGGGCCAGGCCAGATTAGGAAACACAAATCGTACTGCCATGTTTCTTTGCTGCCTGACCAAACGGATCCGTGCAGCATGACTATTGGAAAGGGAACCTCCTGCTCCTGCGCTGCGATAAAAATTGCTGCGCTGGGCCGGGTAAATCGGTGTGCCAGCACAGCCTGGTGCAGCGTAAAAGAAACCTAGGTCATATCCTCCCTTAGTTGTCTCTTTTCTAAACTGAAAAGTCCTAGACTGTTCAGCCTTTCCTCATAGGGAAGGTGCTCCAACCCCCTAATCATCTTTGTCGCCCTCCTTGATACTTTTTCCAGCTCTGCAATGTCCTCGTTGAGATATGGTGACCAGAACTGTACACACAGTATTCCAAATGAGGCCACACTATAGACCCATACAGAGGCAGTACAATATCAGCAGGGCAGTACAGTATCAGCAGGGAGGAGCACAGGGAGCTGTTCCTGTTGGCAGCAGAGGAGAGGACTCTCAATAAAGGGTTTAAATTAAGGGCGGGAATATGAGGAAAACCTTTTTAACAGTGAGAGTTGTGCAGCAGTGGAATCAGCTGCCTAGGGAGGTGGAGAGCTCCCCCTCCCTGGCAGCCTTTAAGCAGCAGCTGGACCAACACTTGTCAGGGATGCTCTAGGCTGATCCCGCAATGAGCAAGGGGTTGGACTAGATGGCCTTTATGGCCTCTTCCAACTCTGTGATTCTATGATTTTCAATCCCTATACCTTGACTTTCAAAAGGCTTTTGATAAGGTACCTCACCAAAGGCTCCTGAGTTACCTTAAGGAGTCATGGGATAAGAGGACAGGCTCTCTTATGGATTAAAAACTGGTGAAATGACAGGAAGCAAAGAGCAGGAATCATTGGACAGTTCTCACGATGGAGGGAAGTCAGCAGTGGGGCCCCACAAGGATCGGTCCTGGGGCCAGTTCTGTTTGATTCATACATGATCTGGAACTGGGGGCGAGTTGTGTACTGGCCAGGTTTCCAGATGGCACCAAATCATTCAGGATGACGAAAGCCAAGGCTCCAGGAGGACCTCCACAGACTGGGTGAGTGGGTGACCGTGTGGCAAAAGAAGTTCAGTGTTGGTGAGTGTCAGGTGAGGCAGACTCTGGGACAAGAAATCCCCAAGTATGAGCTGATGGGCTCTGAACTGGCCGAGACTGGGAAAGAGCTCAAGGGAAGTGCCAGCCCAGCCCAGCCCAGCCCAGTGTGTGCTGCAGCCGTGGAAGGGGCAGACTCTGTCTTAGGGAATACAAGGAAAGGAATCGGGAATGAAATGGCCTTGGCCTCTCTGCCCTGTCTGTGGGCCCTCCAGGGGGACGGGTTGGCTGCCCCGTGTCAGAAGGGGTGCTGGACTGGGTGGACCCCAACCCTGGTCTGATCCAGCAGGGCCCTTCTGGTGTTCTTAAATTCTGCTTTGAAAACATAAAATGTATCATCTGGGTTTTGGAGCATCAGTCTGTAGTTTGATGTGTTTGACATTTAGAAGTGTAAATGTCATGGCTTTATTCAAACAAGAATCTTCAAAAATACCCACTGACCGAGTTGGAGCAGGAAGCCACCGTGCCCGAGATCAGAGCTGGAGATCAAAAGTATTGACTGGCCTTGTAGTCAGCCCAGGGTTGGGGTTTTTGTCATCTGGGCCGAGCGAGTGGCCGGGGGCTGTCCCCAGCAGGCTCCTGTGAGGCGGAGGGGCTAAGAAGGAGGAGGAGGGAGCAGGTGGTCCCTGGGACTGGCCCCTCGTTGTCATCAGGGGGAAACCCAAGGAGGGTAAAGTTCAGAGGCAAAGCAGGAGATAAACATTCCGAACAGAGTAAAGAGGGAGCGGCAAAAAACGTGGATCTTCAGTAAAACTGTAGTCTGTTGTCCTTGTATGAAGGTTGTGGTCCTGTCCACGCTTGACGGGGAGTCGCCCTGTCAAAAGTCAGTGCTACAGGGTTGCCCGTATCACGAGGGAGGGAGGGAGGGAGGGAGGGAGGGGCTCTGTTTCTGCCCTAGTGAATGATATGGATCCTCGCCAGTCTCAGCGACTGTGTCACTTTGCTTTCCTGATCAGTGTCTCAAGGACCTTCCTTGAGACCTTTTGCCACAGTGCCTCCTGCGGGGGCTGCTGCTCTCGTGGACGCTCACTTTCTCCCCCTGCACCCCCGGTTCCTGCTGCAGGAGGACCTGTGCTCTTGGGTGCCTTTCCACCCGAATTGGGTCTGCAAGGCAGTGAATGTCAAAACGTCGTAGCCTTTCAGCATTAAAACAACATTTGGAATAAAAGTGTGTATCGAATATCTCAGTGTCACCACAGGAACACATCCAGCCCGAGAGCCCGGGAGGAGGGCCCTGCGCAGTCCTCGGGGTCTGGCGAACCCCCCAGGAGGAAAGTTTCCTGCTGCTGCTGCTGGCGGGACCTGCCGCCCTCCCCCAACCTCTGCTGCTGTGTTTTTGCCTTCCACAGAGGCATGAAAGTCATTGAGAACCGAGCCATGAAGGACGAGGAGAAGATGGAGCTCCAGGAAATGCAGCTCAAAGAGGCCAAGCACATCGCTGAGGAGGCCGACCGCAAATACGAGGAGGTGGGTGCGTGTGCATGCGTGCGTGCGGGGGGGGGTCTCCAGCAGCAGATCTGCTGGGGAGGGGGGAGAGGGGGGCTGCCCTCCCCTCCCCGGAGGCTAAGACCCGTGTCTGGTTGGCTCGGCAGGTGGCTCGGAAGTTGGTGATCCTGGAGGGGGACCTGGAGCGCTCAGAGGAGAGGGCAGAAGTGGCTGAGAGGTGGGTCCGGGGGGGGGCGGGGGGGGGGGGCGACAAGGCGGGCCGGGCCTGGGCACGCGTCTGCGTTCAGAGCCCCTGGCCTGGACCAGTGATGGGGGCGGCCCTCCCTACCACTCCTTCCTGTGGGTTTCTCAGGCCCAGCGGGTGTTGGGCAAGGGGACATGAGGCCTCGGCTGCTGTCCTGGGGCGGGACATTCTGTCTCAACGCCTTTTCCGTGGAGGCCGTGGAGGGGGCGGGGTGTCTGTGGTCATCTGCCCCCTCCACCAGGCTATGCCGGTGAAACACCCCCACCCCCACCCACCCCCCGCAAGAAGTATTCACTACAGGAAGTATTCACTTCTTCCATGGAGAGTTTCTCGCTCTTCTGCATAACTGGGCAGGTGGTGCTCTGATCAGGGGGAAGCAAACGGGTTAGGGCTAGGCTCTCGTTCCCTGCTGCCGGTCAAATGAAGTATAAGCTTCGTAACAAATTCCCTTGGATGCACACATGTCAAATTTTATTGTATGCCTTGTGGTGTTTGGGCTGACTGGCACACCCTCAGTGCCTCTCCCCGCAAGGGCCTGGGTGCGCGCGGGGGGGGGGGGGGGGGTGGGGGGGGGGAGTGGCGGCTTGGGGGCCGTAGGGCCTTCCTTGCTTTGGGGTGGCTAAGTATCGCCTGCCCCGCCTTGCCTTGCCTTGCCAGCCGCATGAGGCAGCTAGAAGAGGAGCTCCGCACCATGGATCAGTCCCTCAAATCCCTGATGGCTGCGGAGGAAGAGGTACTGAGCGGGGCTCTTCCCCCCCCCCCCTCTGTCTCTCTCGCTCTCTCTCTCTGAGGAGCTGCGCACTCTCCGCTCCCTGCCTCCGCTTCCCAGCACGAGTCTGGAGCTCTCCTTCCTCCGCCCTCCTCGCCCTGTCCGGCCTTGGGGGGGCCTCGCTTCTGTGCTTGGCTCCGGTGCAGGAAGCCAGGCGGGTGCCGGTGGACTGTGGGTGGCCGTTGGCCTGTGAGCTGCAGGAGGGCGGTCAAGCGGGGGGGGGCCCTGCTGGGGGCCGGGCCCAGGTTTGCCTTGCCCTGCGGGAGACCCAGAGGAGGTGGACCCCCAGAACTGTCCTGGGGGGGGGGCGGGGGAAGAGGG